ACAGTCACCTTGCTGGGGTCACCTGACCCCCAGTTATCTCTCCTGCTTGGTAAAGGGGGCTGGGCCCAATGATATTCCGTGGTCCCTTCCATACTTACAGTCTTTGAATCTATGAATTTTCAGACTGCTCAAAGTCTGAATTTTGTTCATCTAAACTAGTCAGGGAATGTTTACAAATAGAGCAAACAGGAAACTGAAATTTCCGTTCTGTGGAAAAATGACATTTTGACTTTCCAAAATAGAAATAAAACCCTGACATTTTAAAATTTCACATGAAACAAAAATTTCCAAACCATCCAATGCTATGTTTAGTTAAAGTAAAGCAAAGTATGTTTTGTTTCAACTTTCCTATTATATTAAAATAGTGTATGAAATATATGGAATTAAAATTAATGCAGTGGTTTTCAACTAATTGGCCTGTGGGCCAGATCCAGCCTGCAGAGCCATGGCATCCAGCACGCAGAGCTCATTATTGATACAAAATCATGTGGCAGCGAGCAGTGGTAGCATTAATTGCCACTTCTGTGCTGCCAAATTTCCAGACCTGTGGAGAGACATGGCCCTGTGTGCTAGATTGCACTAGCTTGTGGTCAGCCAGATTCGGTGTGCAGGATTGCACTCAAGGACTGATCCCATGTGCCAAACCCACAAGGGATTCAGCCCACAGAACAATCCTGCACCATGTATTTGGCCTGCAGGGCTAGAAGGTTGGCCACCACTGAATTAATGTAATGCCAAAGTCTAAATGAATGTAAAGAATAAGTAAAGTTGGTGGGGAGGTTGCATTGTTTGTAATAAAAACATAATGTCTGTAATAAAAACGCGTTGTTGAAATCAGTATGTTCTCACACAATATTTTGATTTAATCAAAATTGCCTTCCTGATTAAAAACAATTTTGTTGTAAGTAGAACTCATTTAAAAACATTCAAATGACAAATGTTCACAATAACCAGCATGTGTTTGCAAACAGAAAGCAATCTGTATTCATTCAGTAATTTATTATTAACAAATAGCTCTACTAATAGGACCTTTGAGTGACTTCACCTGTCATTTTGTAGGTTTGCTGAAGCAAAATCCCTGGGAGAAAAAGTAAATGAAGTAAGAAATAAAATAAGTAAGTGGACTTTTTTTTAACTTCCTTATATGTATATAGAATTAGTATGAATTCAAAATGATCTGGGGAGCTGAAACACAATGTAAGTAACTTTTAGATGAGTTTTCGACCTATCGTCAATGAATGTGATAATTTTAAGTAACAACTTTGATTATTAAAAATTCCATAATCAGAAATCCTAGGTTTCTGTTGGACAGATTGTGTAATTTGCAGATTATGATCATGATTATGATGGACATCACTTATCTTAAAGAAGACTTTAGTCATCTTTACAGGGTGTTAGCATTTAAGATTCAGAATTTCATGAAGAACAAATCCAAATGTATGTGTAGTTTAGATTGCAGACTCTCTGATGATGGATTGTATTTACCTGTTTATTTATACCAGTGGTGCTGAAACTGCAGCCCACATGCTAGATCTGGCCTTTAGAGTTGTGTCCTCCTACTCGCAGGGCTCCCATTGGGTCCAGAAATTTGATGGTTGGGAGCATGGCTTCATCACAGGCATTTAGCAAGGCATTTGAAATTGAGTAAAGAAAATGATAATGGCAATGGTAGGCTTTTTACCAAAAAGTAAAGGCAATCATCCTAAAAGCCAATAGGAGTGCAGAATGACTATGATGCTGGCAATGTGGTATTGTCAGAAATATACCTGTCCTTTATTTCCTTTATGCTATTACACCAGATAGGATCAAATCCTACCTTCCTTTTTTACCTGTTTACTAGAACTGTAAGGAATGTGTGGAATCTATATATTATTTTTAGGGAAAGTATGTTATGAATCCCCTCACCTCAGTCCCTCGAAAAATCATAGAGCAGATCCTCAAGGAATCCATTTCTAAGCATT